TATTCAAAATTGTTGACTATTACAGTACATATATTTCATTTTGAGTGCCTAAGATATGATCACGATATGATGGATAGATCGTGTGCTTTAACATTATTGAAAAGTGTTTACATCGAATTTGAAGTCATTAATATTATTCTCGTGTGCATACATTCAACAGAGAAAACATTAGTTCACGCCTGAAGCACCATGCAGTTACATCTTTTGATACTAGCTTTGTTAACCCTTTGTGAGAGCTTATTAATACTAAGCCGGAATGAAAGTGATACTATTACCCAAAATCGAATAAAATCTTATCTGAACAAACTACGCCTGGGAGAAACATCCTGCATTATGCTTATAGATTTGAGACAAGTACACTGCAGCAATTGCGTAGATCACTTCTTAAGCAGGTTTCTCAATATCCCAAAAATTATAGATAGCGGAAATATGCCCGAAAATGAACATATTCCGGACCCAAGATACACATTTGTATTTGTCGAGCACTACACACGGATAATGAGCTTATTGAGATATTCTCACAAGTATCAGTTTTACAATGTTAGATCCAGATTTCAATTTATTGTATGTTTAAAAGTCCAAAGAAAGCAAAGGCTCAAACGCACGCTAAAATTTATATGGAACAAAGGAGTTTTTAAGTATGTTCTAGTATATGTTCTCGATACCCTGGAAGTACTCTCATACAATGACTTTTTTGATAATAAGGTCATGAATTTAACAAAGAAGAAAACTATACCCAGAACGTTATACTTAGATAAGACGAAGGATCTCAAAGGTCGTGAATTAACTGTTGGAGTATATGAAGATTTCCCAAAAATCAAGAAAACAGATGGAAAATGGGATGGAGCAGATATTAGGATCCTCAGAAATATCGTCGACATGTCAAATGCAACATTAAAGATCGAAGAGATCCCACCATCCAAAAACCTTTACGATCCGTCAGAAGCATTTGGAGACCACATGCAATTCCGTTTTATACGTAGATCCTTGCATATTGGATATGAAAAACTTATATACGTTCAGCCTTTCAGAATGGACAATTTGATAGCATTCGTTCCTAGAGCAGATGTGAAACCCATGCATTTGGCTTCGTTTTTCTCCATTTACAACATGAATACAGCTGTTGCCATGATACTGCTCATAGTTGTAGTCGCATCTGTAGTACAAGCTAGTGGAGACATGCCTTTCTTCGAAGCCGCATATTGGGCTTCATACTTATTCGGTACGATCGTGAAAAACTTCAGAAAAAAGTACAAAAGTACAAAAATAGTATATTTTAGTTGGACTATATTTGGTCTGCTCAATGGTGTTGTTTTTCAAACAACTTTAACCACCATGCTTCTGAGAAAAGAATATAACCCGGACATAAACACAATAGAAGAATTGCGCGATAGCAACATGACGATATACATTGACATGGAACATTTCAACTTGGCACCAAAAATATTGCTCGCTCAATGCATTTTCATAAACAATACCGAAATGTATAAACATTTTATGAACGATACGAAAGCTCAAAATGTGTATATCTTCTCAGAATCCTCCGTTAATGCTATACAAAGAAAACTAAGTGTACAAGCCTCACATTTCAGGGTTATGAAAGAAATCGTGATTCCTGGGTTCACTGTTTATTTCTTTCACAAGCAGTCACCTTGGTACGAAATGGTGAATAACAATCTTAGAGCGTTATTCGACTACGTATATTTAAATCAATACCAGTTTACTGTAAGAACAAATCGCAAAAGAAGGCGGAGGCAGCTGAACCTGGGGACAAGACAGCTGACATTTCGTCATTGGAAAAGCATATTATCCGCGATGCTGGTCTGTTATTCAGTCACATTCATTGTTTTTATTGGAGAGCTGATGTGGAGCAAAATCAGAAAGTTGTCAGATCGTATCACAATTATTTTAACAATTAAGTAAGAACATATTTGGCATTCTTGTATTTACACCATGGTCATCAAAGCATGGAATAAGTTCACTCTTTACTTCAATCGCAGCGCCTATAATAGTTATTTATGTGCCTAGAACATTAAGATGGCTGGTATGGCCGTAAAACATTCCAAATGACATAAATGCTTTTTACGACCAAGATACATACAAAATCTTCTTTCTCTTCTCGCTCCTACTTCCTTCATTTCTTTCTCCCTCTCCCCTTTCCCCTACAACTTGTCTGGTTTCTGGGCCACCAGACCTGACAGACTGACGACAGACACTGACATTACAGTGACTATGACCTACAAGCTAAGGTCCTCCGGACCGCCTTGAGAAGCAACGACGAGTAGTAGTACATACAAAATCTTATCTGGGACCGGCTAGGAGCAAAAATTTATAGTAGATTTTGAGAAAAAATAAATAAGTTAACCGTCGCCTAGCAACGAACAAGTTACGACAGTTCTATTGAGTCTATCAATAACTAACTTAAAATTAGTGATATTTCACCTCTTAAAGTTTTGTGTATGCTTATTAGTCTGGTTTTATTCATGCAAGTTGTTCAAGGGGGTATTTAAATCATGGACGCACAAAATGGGTACATCAATTTTCGTGGGAAAACGTGTTTTAGGAATTCAACCGAAAGTGTTGGCAGGAACGAAAATACTCTTCAAATTTTTAGGTATTTATGAGGCCCACAGATTGAGATTACACGCAAAAAGATCCGACTAATAGTAAAAAAGTTATGGTTGAAAACCGAAGCAAAATGCAGGTCTTAGAACTTGTTGATAATGCGACGATAGTTTCACGCAAATATTTGAAATTCTTCAAATTCGTAGGATTCATACTTCTAAATAACGACAACAAAATTGGAGTCGATTGGACAAGTAGTTTTTGAGAATTTCTAATTATTTATCCTCTTCGTTTTTTGCATAAACATATTAATTATTATCTTTAGGAATGGTTTGTGATTCATGTCAGCAAGGAAAACTCGTGTATTTTGCTTTGTACGAATCCTGTATATTGCTCGGTAAACTAGTAGTGAGGGCCGGAAGACAAGTGTTTTGGGATAAACAATTAGAAATCCTCAAAAACTAATTGACCAATCAACTCCAATTTTGTTGTGGTTATTTAGAAGTACGAGGGATTTCTTTTAAGTTTTGCATATAGAAACATAGTAGGCCGCGCGGACCGAACGTCAGTACTGAATCTTAACCTCACTCTTTAGTAAACTTAAATTCAAAGTTTCACAACAATACGTGCAGTGTTCTCACTACAGTGAATTTTTCAGTGTCACCAAGTCATTAGAAAAATGGAACTCAACCGAGAACATTTTCGCGCCATAATTTTACTGTCTGTTTTCGGCAACGAAGCGCCACATCAGTCGACAATTTCCCGTTGGTATGGAGAATTTAAACGTGGACGGGTGAGTCTTAGCGACGATTCCAGGGTGGGTGCACCAAAAACGGCAGTCACCCACGAAAGCGTCGGTGCTGTGCGCAAACTCATCATTGAATATAGACATATGACATATCGCGAGATTGAGGCGTCCTTGAAGATCTCAAAGACCTCAAATCCAAAAGTTTTACATGAAGACTTAGGAGTAAGAAAATTAGTTTCTCGTTGGATACCCTACCTGTTGACTGAAGAGCAGATAGCAGCCAGGGTTAATTGGTGTCAAAAAACGCTTGACTGTTTCAATTCCGGAAGCTCAAAAAATGTGTACAGCATTGTTGGTGGTGATGAATCGTGGATGTACTGCTTTGAACCAGAAAATAAACGACAGTCGTCTGTTTGGGTGTTCCAAGGTGAAGGAAAGCCAACAAAAGTCATCCGTTCTCGAAGTGTTTCAAAAAAGATGGTCGCGACATTAGTGTCAAAAGCGGGTCATATTGCAACAATTCCTCTTAGTGAGCAAAGAACTGTTACTGCGGATTGGTATATCACCATTTGTTTGCCAAAAGTCATCACAGACTTTCGAAAAATCAACCCCGAAAGAAGAATCATCCTCCACCAAGACAATGCAAGCTCGCACACAGCCCAAAAAACAAGGCTGTATTTAACGGAAGAAAACGTGGAATTATTGGACCATCCCCCATATAGTCCCGATCTAAGTCCTAACGATTTCTTTACTTTCCCGAAAATTAAAAACAGACTGCGTGGTCAAAGGTTCCAGTCACCAGAAGAAGCAGTTGACGCATTCAAAAATGGCGTTTTGGATCTGCCAACAAACGAGTGAAATAAGTGCTTCGAAAATTGGTTCGATCGCATGCAGATGTGTATTAATCTTCGTGGAGATTACTTCAAAAAACAATAAAGTCATTTAAAACTACCTACCGTGTTGTTTTATTTCCATATGCAAAACTTAAAAGACATCCCTCGTATGAAGCCTACAGATTTAAAGAATTTCAAGTAGCTGCGTGAAATTGCATAACCTGCATTTTGCTTCGAATTCAGGCCATAATTTTAGTCGTATCTTTTCACGTGCGGTCTCATTCTGTAGGTCTCATAAATAGGTACCTAACAATCTCACTTGAAGAGTTTTCTGGTTCCTGACAACACTTTCGATTGAATCCCAAAAAACTCGTTCTCTCATTCTTTGTTGTCGAATAAAGAGTTTTCCCACAAAAATTGGTGTACCCATGTTATGCTTCCATGTTTTAAATACCCCCTTGAATAACTTGCATCAATAAAACCAGACTGTACAATTATTTCGAAGAAATCTTCTAATACGATTAGACTACATGGTTTAGATATCTTTGTGTGTTTTGTATGTATGTAGGGAGTGGAGTTGGCTTTGAACACCATTCCATTAGCCACAGATTTTTTTTAATTCATGTTATATGGTGCTTTATACCACTACCTGAGCTAATTTTGCAAACTCAACTTCTTTAACCACAATGGACTTTCTGGTTAAACTTAGCAATGATGACAGTTGAATTGGAAGTGATGCCTGCTCCAACAAAACTATTCATCCTACTAAGTTGTATATTTTGATCTAATTTTTTACATATAACATTATTTGGTATTTTTGTATTTTGTGGATATTTATTTTTTGCATTTTGTAGTCCTGAAGAGGACATCTAGTAGATGTCGAAATGTCGGCCTTACAGATAAAGTGCATTATTAAGAATCTTGAGCATTGTATCCCGAAATCCGAAGAAAAGAAGTAGAGAAACATCAAGGGAAACATTGCATTTGACATGCTGATGCCGAAACCCTACGTCAGGATTTGGAGCAAGGTATAGAAAACCTTAATCATTTTCAAGGTAGATTTTCTTTTAAAATCGCTACTTATAGAAAATATGTTTCTTGTCCTATTCAACCTAGTAAAAGACATAAGTGTCAACTATCAATATTATACGTATATGTTAGAAAGCCTTATAACAAATTCTATAGCATAAATGTATTCTGTGAATGACGTTTCAGGGTAAGAGTATTGCCCCTTTTCTGTATACTGTTGATTCATTAGCCAACAGAAGAGGCACGCCTGTAAAATACTTGTATATTGAATAAAATACTAGTCGGACAATATTGTTTTATTTTTCAATTCTGGAAACTTTTTACAATAATTAAATCTTTTGAAATCCATCCTACTAAATAGCAAAATTCCTGTGTAGCTAACCCGGATTCTGATCATTCTTATCTACGATATTTTTTATACTTGAACCACCTCGAAAGCCCATGGGTACCGTGGGGCTGTAGAGGAGACAGAGGAAAGGGGGACTCTAGCGAGGGAACAAGTGTGCATTCAATATGCACACATTCTGGCCCCGCCTTAGAGATCCACCGGTTCGTACCTCCGCGTTCAACAGTCAGAGACCGGCTACCACCTACGGACTATCACAAAATCCATAGGCAGAAGAAATGTCTCTCTTGGGATGGAATTCGCATTAGTAGATCCATAACGTCTGCCACTACGCCACCACTGCTGCCTGAAAAATCTACAAAAAATTGTCAAATGAAGTAACATGTTTGTCCACATCTTTTATTTTTCTTCGTTTCTGTATTCAAAAGCTAATTTTAATCAATCCCTTATCACATTTCAGACAAAAATATTCTTAGTTAATTACCCATGCATACGCGCTGCTATAAATAACAGCCCTTATTTTTTGTAACACTGTGATATGAGTTCTGGCATTAACCATCAGGTATCAAACTCTGATGCTGACCAGATTTATTTGATTCGCTTTGAACACTTTCTGCCATGTAAATGTTCCCCATTTTTGTTATATGTTACGTGTTATGTGTTTAAAAAATGAGTGGAGGGGAACATTTGTGACGATGGATCCACACGTCTCTCTTCAGCAAGACAACGCACGTCTCAATATTGCTCGTCATACTACGGACTTTCTTCAAGAAGAAGGCGTTAATGTTTTGCCGTTGCCGCCCCGTTCACCGGATTTATATCCCATCGAACATGTGTGGGATGTTATGGGGAGGAGACTATCCACTTTGCAACATCCGCCACAGACTCTGTCACAGCTAATCCACGAAGTTCGAGTTGCTTGGAATAAGGAGCCACAACCAGACGTCGATCATCTCATTTTGTCGATGCCTAGACGTCTATATGTATTCGGCTGCGGGGTCGCCCAATACATTAAATATTTTTTGTTTCTTATTATTTGTCAATAAAATTTCGTTTTGTCGTTTTTGTTGATGCAAGACTACCTCATTGCCAAAAAATCAAGTTGAAGAAATTATTTTTGCTGGTTATAGCACTTCTAATGTCACTGAGTATATTAATTTCTTCTCTCAGCGGGCAGTATTTAGAGTTAGAAAGAAGAATTGATATTTTATTTTGTAATTAGAAAATTGCGGCGCTTGGCGCCATCTCTTTCCGAATGCCGCCCTTGGCCATGGCCACCTCTGCAGCCACCACGCTGTGCCTCTGCATTGTGTAGTTCTGGATTTACCATACAAGTCATGTATATATCAATTGGGATTAAGCACGTACCGATCGGAATAATACGCATCGGTCATAAAATAATAGGAGCAGCGCCTACAGGTTAGTGCGTGAGCCTTGTAACAATAAAATAAGTAGATCTTAGAAGGCTAGAATGCACAATAGGTGCTAACATGAACAAGTCTACAAATGTCAACACCATCGATTTCAAACAATTTTAATTAGCTTGCCTGGTATGCATCAAATTTGTTAATTAAAAGTTTTTCTGTTGACCGATTGATTTGCAATTTGTTGCATATCTTCAGTTCCGATAACAACATAATTATTTAAATTCAGTATCACTGTAAAATTCAATTATAGTAAGAAAGTGCCTGATATTAAGAATTGAAATAATGTTTTTATTTTCCATTTACAAAATGGAAAAATAGTTAATTGCACCACACGATTATTTCTTTTTCTTCTTTTTTAACAAATCGATTAATATAGAGAAAAATCGAGTTTCCAGTGATCGATCCCGGGTGCAGAGTGCCAGTGGTCTAGCAAAGGGAGGCTTTCATATAGGTTGATCATATTTTTGCTGGCAACACTTCGTATCGCGGCTTGCCAATCATTGCACAAATAGAATACGAGGTGATACAACATATAAATCTGTTCCTGTCAAATTTGCAGCCGTTAAAGCTGGAAAAAGGCACTTTAGGAAAGAAGATAATTTTGTATGGATTTGATTTTTAATTTTTCTTTTATATTTCAACTAAAATTATACATGATGCTTATCGGATGTTTATTGCTCTTAATTTTTGGTATAGTGCCGTTCTCCTCACAGCTGTGTTTGTTATTGGAGCTACCGCCAATCTTTAAGGAACAGCGAAGTTGACATCCTGGTAAGAGAACTTCATCTGAAAAACAACATTAAAGGCAAAATATCTTACATTAAGCTAGTACTGCAACAGACTGAAATTATGATTCATGGTAAACTCTCTATAGATCATTGTATGTAATTTGAAGACCCCGTATGGTACAGTTGCTACGTCAATACCGGAAATTTCAGTAGACGTATAACTTCAAATTATAATTGCAATCGATTTTTTATAGAGACGAAACCACATTTTATGTACCTGTTCGTATGCACGATTTATTATTAATCATTTTGAGAAAATGCTTGTGCTACATAAAGCACGATTGTCACTTTGAACTGCTAATTACAAAGGTTGATTCCAGACGGCTTACTTTATAATTTTTGTTACCCATAATCTAAATTACGCCCCTAATGAATGACTGGAAGCGATTCATTCAAATTCAGGGCAGTTGGTTGTTGGTTACACGGTGTCCAAATCAAAGTATTTTTAGTGAATATTTTTCAAATAATTATTATAAATCTAATCCGAACAAAAACCGAATACGCCAACTTCTAACCAAGCTTAGTAAGAAACTAAAGATTAAATATGGTTTGCTAACTCAAAAATGAAGTAATTCGTTGCCGAGCAAAGTTAAATATCTTTGTGCAGGGTGGTGTCAAGTAGAATAGCTCCGTATATCACATATAATACGAGCAGCTTATAAGACAAATGTGCAGTATATAAAAACCTTAACTAGACTGACATTTTATAAGCTCATTCATTATTGACTTGACGTACAGAATCAACCTGCTTGATTTGTCGATATTCTTCTATGTTTTTTCATGGTCCTTACAAGTTTAACATATAGTAAATTTGAATCTTAAAAGATACTCGGAAAAATGACATAGCGCGTTTGAAATTTTGATTTGTTTCTTTGCTCAGTCCGAATCTAAATTTTGTTAACAGGATTGTATACTTACAACAACACTGAAAAATGAAACATTAGAGGCTAACCAATTTTTTTGATGGATACTGAAAAGTTCCAATTGAAACTTTAACTCTTATCTACTTTCATTTCAAATTTAAAAGTTCTTAGGAAAGTTTCACGTCATAAATAGTAATTTGACGTTCTAATTTCTTTGTCACAAGATTACGAGGGGTGTCTTTTAAGTTTTGCATATGGGAATAAAACAACAAGGTAGGTAGTTTTAAATGACTTTATTGTTTTTCTCCACGAAGATTAATACACATCTGCATGCGCACGAACCAATTTTCGAAGCACTTATTCCACTCGTTTGCTGGCAGATCCAAAACGGCATTTTTGAATGCGTCAACTGCGTCTTCTGGTGACTGGAACCTTTGACCAAGCAGTATATTTTTAATTTTCGGGAAAGTAAAGAAATCGTTAGGACTTAGATCGGGACTATATGGAGGATGGTCCAATAATTACACGTTTTCTTCCGTTAAATACTGCCTTGTTTTTTGGGCTGTGTGCGAGCTTGCATTGTCTTGGTGGAGGATGATTCTTCTTTCGAGGTTGATTTTTTGAAACTCGGTTGATGACTTTTGGCAAAAAAATGGTGATATACCAATCCGCAGCAACAGTTCTTTGCTCATTAAGAGGAATCGTTGCAATATGACCCGCTTTTGATACAAATGTCACGACTATCTTTTTCGAAACACTCCGAGAACGGATGACTTTTGTTGGCTTTTCTTCACCTTGGAACACCCAGACAGCCGACTGTCGTTTATTTTCTGGTTCGTAACAGTAAATCCACGATTCATCACCACTAACAATGCTGTACACATTTTTTGAGTTTCCGGAATTGAAACGGTCAAGCGTTTTTTGACACCAATTAACCCTGGCTGCTTTCTGCTCTTCAGTCAACAGGTGGGGCATCCAATGAGAAACTAATTTTCTTACTCCTAATTCTTCATGTAAAATTTTTTGAATTGAGGTCTTTGAGATCTTCAAGGACGCCTCAATCTCGCGATATGTCATATGTTTATATTCAATGATGAGTTTGCGCACAGCACCGACGCTTTCGTGGGTGACTGCCGTTTTTGGTGCACCCACCCTGGAATCGTCGCTAAGACTCACCCGTCCACGTTTGAATTCTCCATACCAACGAAAAATTTTCGACTGATGTGGCACTTCGTTGCCGAAAACAGACAGTAACTCAGCAAGGCATTCTTGTTGCGATAATTGTCTCTGAAAGTTGTAATAAATTATGGCGCGAAAATGTTCTCGGTTAAGTTCCATTTTTCTAATGACTTGGTGACACTTAAAAATTCACTGTAGTGAGAACACTGTACGTATTGTTGTGAAACTTTGCATTTAAGTTTACTGAAGAGTGAGATTCAGTACTGACGTTCGATCCGCGCGGCCTACTATGTTTCTATATGCAAAACTTAAAAGACATCGCTCGTATAGTGAGAAGACTCAGTAGACCAAAAAAAACATATATATATATATATATCAAGATAATTAAAAAACATTCAAATCCTTTATTGAAGTAATATAGTAACAATGATACAATAGTAGTAATTTCCTTATCGTACTAAACTAGACATTTGCTTTTAGCCAAGAATCTTCTTGAATCACAACAGTTATTTAGGAAAACCGAGTAGAATTCAAGCACTATTTCCAATACCAGGTATTCAGTTATTGTTGTGTTCAATGAAAAGTTTTATTTATTTTTCACCTGCCGAAATCAATTAAGCAGAATTGTTCATGTGATGTAACGTTAATAAATATTTACTGCCGTATTTTACCTTGTTTAATGTA